TTATTTACTCTTGAAACAGAACCTGCGGAAATACATCTAGTTCTATTACTACGTCACACTTATACATAGTAGTAATAATACTAAATGTCATGCTCCGCTAGCTTAGGGATTACACACCCTAAAACTTCTTGTTTCATAAACCTCTGTAACAAATAACATTTCAAAAAATGTGTATGCTGTAACCAAACGTCTTGATGAGATCTAGCATTGAGGGAAAGCCTCATCGACAGAGCTTTACAATAAACAAGGCATAACTAAAATGTTATTATACAAATTTCGGTGCTACTATAGCGTGCGGTTGGTTAGTTGTTTTGAATTTCGCACAAAGCTACACGAGCGCTATCTGCGCTAGCAGTCCCTAATTTAACAGTGTAAGACCACCCACCGCCAACTCTTGTGCTACCAACGAATAGTGGGATGGACCGTCAAATAATAACGCTCCCACGAGCATGAAAGGGCGAGCATGTTTAGTGGGACGGGGATTCGAACCCAAGACCCACAGATTGCGAGTCGAGCGCCCTAACCACCTGGCCATGCCGGGCCATAGATATTTACACTACAGCGTGTGGTCTACACAGATACTATCATCATCACCGTGGCACAGCGGTATGTGTAGCTTTGTGCTTAACTTCAAAACAAACAATCAACACCGTTTTAATGATTCACTAAAACATAATTTCTTATAAAAAAATTTATATCTATCCACGTTTTTGTTCAGCAAATAATAATAATAATTTAATAAGTTGTGTGTTCCAAAAGAATACCTTAAATTTAGGTTATAATTGTGCTAGTTTTGATTGTTGGAATTTGTTTCATTCCGATTATATTTGCCCCCCAAAACACTATGTAATAGTATTTTGTACTTTATTAGTTTAAAAGCGTTATTTATAATTAATGGGGCCAATTGCAAATAAACGAAAGTTAAAACGGTAATGATGATAGTACCTGTGTTGTCCGTAATTTCTTACTGGAAACCGTTTAGGGCCAATAAAGGATGGCGTAATTAAATTATGACATAACACAAATATTACTGTTTTACACCTAAAAGCCATGTTATCGAAAGCTGCTGACCAATAACAGCCGCCGTCGTTGTAAGCTTTGGCTGTCTCTAAAGGAAGGGGTGTGTGTGTCATCTTGATTTAAACAAATAAACCTGCAGCTTCATCAGATCTTATGAAAGTTACTCATCTAAATCATCATCCGGCAGAAATCAGTGTGTAGGATGAAAAGCTTTGATAAATGTCAGGCTGATGACAGATGTAACGTTAAACACCTTAATCTTATGCAGTCTTTTCATTAAAGAAAAATGAAAAGTACCTTATCTGATAAGTAATAGTAGACAAACGTCAAAGTTCGAGTGCCACTGTTTTTTACGAGCCTATCACCAAACCCAATAGACTTCCGATAATATAATATAATAATACAAAATTCATTGCTTTCAACATTTTCATTAGTCCAAAACTTATAGTACTATTCATTTTTGGACTAATATTTTCACCTTCAAACAAGCTAATTCCACGCCGGATATTATTAGGGCCGATGTGCTAGGCCTAGCTATCGTACTGTAAATATAATTTTATATGGTGTATACTCTTAATAGTATAATGTAATCCTGCTCACTAGCAACCGTAAACGATGTTTTAAGCACATGTTGATGTGGGGAAATACGTATGACGTTTCGTCATACAGTTGCATTTTAGTTTGTGTTGTAATATCCAGCCTTTCTATATGCAATTTTCCGGACCTACGCTCTTGTTTGCCTTTTATTCTAATAAACAAGCAAAATACAGAATTTGTGGGTATTCCTCTGACGTAGTTTCAGTTGAAGCACAACATTGCGTAACGTCAAAACACCAAACTGGTTTAAGGCGGGAATGACGTGCAAAACAAAGTTATTGACCCCCGTAATAATCATTCTAAGTGTTCAGAAACTTAGTATTGTTTACTCTTGAAATTGAATACTTCAAAAAGTTTTTAAAAACAAAATACTAAATTTGTAATAACAGTGGTAAATTATAGCTTAATTTAACCAATGTACTGCGATTTTATTTCATGCCTGAAAAATGGATCCTGTGAAGGATAAAATCGGATTTGAGGATGTTGGAGTTATAAATTAAGTAAATTAGGGGGTCCAAAGGTTCGAATGTTAAATACAGTGCATTAGATAGTGCAGGAACAAGGGATTTATTAAGTTGTTTTGTTTTAATTAGTTTTCTATTGGAAATGCTCGATTAAATGTAATGAAATACAAGTTAAATGTCCTCCTTCGATATCTTTATCGGTTGATACTTTAGAAAGCACATTTTACACACACACTCATAGTTTGTTTTTGAATTTCGCGCAAAGCTACACGAGGGCTATTTGCGCTGGCTATCCCTAATTTAGCAGTATAAGACAGCTAGTCATCACCAACTCTTGGGCTACTCTTTTACCAACGAATAGTGGAATTAACCGTCACATTACGTTTGGTGGGACAGGGATTCGAAACCGCGACCCTCAGATTGCGAGTCGAGAGCCCTAACCTAGATGTAGATTCCTAAATGAAAACATATGATTAAAAAAATCACGTGCTCGTATGAATTTGGGTTTTGCCAAAATTAGATTTTCATGATGACTAACTATTTTAAGGTTTTCATCGGGTAAGGCGTTTCATAATTAACTTTCAGGGATTAGAGATAAGTTTGAACCCAACTTGTTGACTTTTTTTTTAAATAAAATTTACCAAGATTTCTTTCTTTCTGTCTGGTCAGTTGGTTAAGTTCGTAGACAAAAAAACACGTCAATGGTTCCCACTAAATAAGTTTGTTTGTAATTAAGTACAGAGCTACACAATGAGCTATCTGTGCTCTGCCCACCACGGGTATCGAAACCCGGATTCTAGCGTTGTAAGTCCGCAGACATGCCGCTGTGCCACTGGGGGGGGGGGAGGCACTAAATAAGTAGAAACATCTTCGTTACTGAGAGAAAACGAAATTTTGAGCTTTACGGAAAACGTACCCGAGTTGTTAAAACTGTATGTTAACTCTAAAATGTTAACTCTGTATCGCAGAATTTGGTCGTTAAAGCTTACAGTTAAGACAAAATGATTTAAACTAGTGTGATTTCAATTAAATATCTTGTATACTTTTTGTAAGACGGGTTAACTTTTAAATACGTTTTTCGTATTTATTTCAGGTTTGTATTTTTCTCTAGCCATGTCTACTAAAATTAGATACAGATTTGGCAAACAACCATCTTCAAGTGTAATAAAATATGCAATAAACAATACATTCTTATTGATATAATTTTGTTTTAATCTCTTAAAAATGTATAGAAGAGCGTTGTTTGTGGTTTAATATTCTTAACCCAAGAATTATCTTGGTTTCGGACAACAGTACCCCCATTTAACGGAATCTATAGATATAAAAATGACATCTACTTTTTTTTAAAACTCAGACTAAAATATATACATGTTCCGAACAATATAAAATGTGCTGCAATAGATAGTGATTTCGATACTTGCACCTCACAGCCGTAAAAGGTATTTTGGTTCATAGGGAATGCTGATACCTTTGGAATACATAATTTTCTTTGAACATATTCGTATTTAAATACACACTAAAGAAGTGTAACAGATTATCTTATCACTAAAAGACTTAACCTCAAATTGTCTGCTAGGCGAATTAGACCGTTATTCATATGCCTATGAAAACCTGATTACGAACTTTCCATTTTAAACGTGCAGGCATTTAACCTCCTTCCCTTCGTAATTGAAGTGACTAAGACAGCAAAAGTGGATGATGAAACGTACGTGATAGACAAATTTCTGCATCAACGGGAACAGGAAGATATGTAACGATACAGTTTTATCTTAACGAAACGACGTACAAAGAATAATTCGTTGCACTTAAGTTTGAATGATTATGTGAAGAAATTTCCATTTCAATTATTTTATTTCTACTTTAAATCCACTAGGTTATTTAACTTTAATGTTACGCATTTATCTTCCTCCAAAGAAAAAAAAAAAAACGTTATTGGAAAACTACTCACAAGTCCAAACCGAGGCATCATTTATACGATTATTTACAAGTACGTTCAATTCTTGTATATCTAATATCAAACATGTGCGTATAACCAGCTATGTTAATGTGTTTAACAATTCAATGTCACTAATGTAATGAAAAACACTAGACATTAGTTAACGTAGTTTTTAACACTTTCAGTTTAGTTGAATTCGTATGCAATTTTAATTTCCCATTCAAACCAATAAGTAGTGAAAACGCGATAGAATCGTATCTATTTGGTCCAGCGTGAAATAAAACTTAACCAAAATATAGTGTGTAAGTTCTCAAAAGGTTTGGTTTAAGAAAAAAGATATTAGTTTCATATCCGAGAATTTACTTTTAAGAAAAACTTCGTTGTTCTATAAACAGTAATATTCTTATGGTTACAGACGTGTCACTAGATTGAACTGGCAATATCAGGTTGAATCTATTTTTCTTCCCTTAAATATTTTTCAGGGTTTTGAGGGGTAGAGGGGTAGGGTTAATCATTTGATTAACACAGAGTTAAGACGTTGTATTATACTATTTAGCGTACGACTATAAAAAAGAAGCTTTTTAAAGACTGTTTAGACAATATATTTTATATCCATTTGCCTGTTTATTAAACTCGTAACTGTTTAGCAATCGTAAAAAAAAAAAATCGATATTTTATGCACCTAGCGGCGTGGGAAAAAATATATACGATTATTCTGTCTTAGTTTATTGTGTGTCTTAACACACAGCTTATATTTACATATATAACGCCATGTATATCTGTGCTGCTCGTTTATTTGTTTACACAACAGTTGTTACTACGAGTCTCTGAAGGTGGAGCTTGCTTGATTAACTGGAACTTTCCCGCTAGGAGGACTGAACACCGTGAGATAGTTCTTAAGTGTTTGATCTCCTGTCTACGATAACCAGTTTTGTTTACAGCAGTCGAACGAAGGTATTGAAGTGTAAAAATATTCCTCCCATGCGCGAAGTTACGTTACGTAGACCAACCAGAGTTGCTCTAACGAGCGCATGCGCATTGTTAGATGGAACACGTCAGTAACAGAACTGATGAGTACGGCTTTAGCAGGTGAACAGGGTCATTGACGGGACCAAACACTTATACATGTTTATTGATAGCTTCAGGCAGCGCTGAATCCTATAAAACGGGAGGAGCGCGCGAAGGACGATCAAAACTCAGCTCGATTATTAGAAAAGACGTTTCGCTGTGCTGTTTACACAAAGTTTTAGTTTTGTTTCAGCAATAGAAAATGGGAAACAGTTTGTTTATCTGGCTCTTCTCTTTAATGCTAGGAGCCATATCCACAATGACGAAGACTACACCACAAATAAATACAACTTCTGGTAAGCTACTTGGTCGATCAGTGGAGACTCCATTTGGCCCTGTTGACCAGTATCTTGGGATTCCATATGCCAAGGCTCCAATAGGTAGTCTACGATTTCAGCCACCTCAACCACTTGACAAAGAAGAAGCAGAGATTAGACGAGATGCCACCAAGTTTGGTCCAGTCTGTTTCCAGCCTCCTCACTTGAAAGAAATGATCAGTCCTCTCCTAAGGACTAATGACAATGGTCAGAGAGCAAGTAGTGAAGATTGTTTGACCTTAAATATTTACATTCCAAGTGGAAGACAATTGGACACCTTGCCAGTAATGGTGTGGCTTCCAGGAGAAGGATTCGACTATGCTGATACTACCCAGTTTGATGGTACTTTTCTTGCAACCATAGGACAGGTCATCGTCGTCACAGTTAACTACAGAGTCTCTGTTTTTGGGTTCCTGTCTACCCTGACTCCTGAAGCTCCAGGTAACATAGGATTCTTGGACCAACGACTTGCCCTACAGTGGATTCAACAAAACATTGGCCAGTTTAATGG